TAGTTATTTTTAGACCCAGTACAATAACATTTCAAAATGAACAACTTTTGATAATTCAGGATTGAATCTGTTGAATGCCGAGCCAAACAATCAGAAGTTCAGAAAGGAGATAGAAATGACCTAAAATCAATTTTTTTTACAAATAGTCGATGAGTTTGTTGGTAGGTTTTAGACATTTTCTATGTCATCAAAATAACAAGAAAATTTTGCTAGATGCTGATTTGAATTTAAGCCTATTAGAGGATACTCAATCAATGTCACAGGTGATAGAAAAAGAAGAGTCTACTTCTGGAAAGGTTTGATAATTATGATATCATAAGTCAATTGATTTGAATTCAAGATTACTTCACTAATTTCCTTCAGGCTCTTATAAAAATATAATTTTGAGGACTTGCAAAAATTTCTGTATTATCCGTCTTCAAGTTTCTGACGTTTTTTTAACAGTGCACTGGAGAAAAAAAACGTCTTTAAGATTATTCTATAGGTGGCAATGGAGCAGTCTGCTAAAGAAACAAAGCTTTTTTGGCTTCTCCATAAAGATTTTGAAACCTTAATAGTTGAAAAGCTTGCCCTTCAGAGTATCGAAGCCATAAGATTGAATAAGGAGTTTAAAAAGGTAGACAAAAATTGATTTAAATTTTCATAAAAATCAGATTAAAAATTTTGAAAAAAGTTAAAGAATTTTTTCCTGTACATTAAACAAAGTTTAGTGGGCTAAAAAGCAGATGCTGTACATAAACTAAAAATATTGTATTTTAGTGGGCTGAAAGCTGATACTGTACATGAACTACAAATATTGTTTTTTACATTGAATTCAGATTCAGGTGGGTTACTAGTCTTTAAATTCAACTAGGTTGTAGGTGGGTTACTAGTCTTTAAATTCAACTTTTTTGGTAAACAAAATCTGAATCTAATTTTCCAGATCTTGTCTGCAAAACTCTTGGTTCCAAGTGCTGACTACTGGAGGAAGATACACATGCTTCTTTGTCAAAAGTATGGAAATATGTTTCGACCAGAGTTAGGTAAAGTCATTGATTAATAACGAAATAGATAGAACACTAGATGTCTTCGTTTTCAAGATTTAAAGGTTTTTCGTTCACAATAACCCCGAGGCAGAAGCCCAAAGGAGTTGGCGCATGTTCTCTCTCTGTCTTGTCATTTAACGCGACATGCGCGTAACTTCTTTGGGCTTCTGCATCAGGGTTGTTGTTAACAAAAAAAAAACTAAATCTTGAAAAGACAGCATCGAGTGTTCTATCTGTATTGTTATTAATCTATGGGTAAATTAAATTAATTTATCATGAATAACCCTCCTCCTACTGAACCCTACTTTGCCCAAAAACGTTGCATTCTATTTTTAATGTACTTAATAAAAAAGAGAATTTCAAACATAAAGGAATTGAGTCTTAGGAACAAAATCAAATATTTAAACCTCAATTTCTTTAGAACTCTATGTTGTAAACCTCTGATATTTCAAACTCAGATTATTTGATCTAACAGAATTCATAGTTTGAAATATCTAAGGTCTGCAACATTTGGTTCTAAAGATAGTGATTAGAAAATCAGAGTTTGTGGCAAAGACTCAATTCCTTTTCCAGTTGTAAAAAATGTGCACAAAATATGACAAACTTTAGATGTCATTTTTTATATGCAAAAGTATATGTAAGCAAAAGTATTTCTCATACGTTAATGCATAGTCAAGAAAGGAATAGCTTTTCTAATCCCTTTATCAATCTTTGCAACCCAATGGTTTAGACCTTAGATACTTTTAAACTACTAGCCTTAGTGGGCGCTTCGCGCCCATCTTCTAAATTAATTGTTAACATGTTCTCGTTGTGTACATCGTAAAACAAAACAAAAATAATTGGCGGATTTTCACAAAAAATTTCGCGGATTTTCAAAATTTTCAAAAATTTAATGACGATCGAATTTTGATGGAGACAAATATTTAAAATTTCAATCATTCATAAACCTTCCCTGGGGTCCCTAGATGTCCCACAAAAAATTTGGGCCCGATCGGTTCAGCCGTTTTGACGTTTATTGGACACAAACAGACAGACAAACAGACAGACAAGCCAAATTTATATATAGATGAACAATATCAGATACTAGAAATTCAAGGCGCTTCGCGCCCTTCTTTCTAGGCTTTAAATTAGGAACATGTTCGAATTGTTTACATTTCAAAACAAAGATGAAAAAAGTTTTGCGGATTTTTAAAAAAAAATTCGCGGATTTTCAAAAATTAAAATTTTTTTTTACAAAATTAAAAACCTCTTAAACACAAATTTTTAAAATTTCAATCATTCATAAACCTTCCCTGGGGTCCCTAGATGTCCCACAAAAATTTGGGCCCGATCGGTTCAGCCGTTTTGACGTTTATTGGATACAAACAGACAAACAGACAAACAGACAAGCCAAATTATATATATAGATGATAACGTAAGTTTTAAATATCAAAGATTTACATAATTAGGTTACAAAGATATAGGGATGGGTAAATTTAAGTCTGTGGCTAAGACTCCTTTTCTTGTATATCTTTTTAGTTCCCAAAGAACTGCCAAAGGGTGGCCCATCCTCACTCAAGAACACGGCAGTTAACCTTCGCGCCCGAGCAGCACGGATGTGTGCAGAATGGAGTGTTAAGAGAAAAAGAAGTTCCCAAAATGATGAAGAAGAGAACTTGCGCTCCAAAAAAGAAGCTAAACATGGTGTCCTCCAGCAAAGATTTAATGCTGGAAACGTAAGTTTATCTTAAGTTTTTTTTTTAAAAAGCTTATCACTAACATTAAGATATTTCTAGAATGAGGATCTTCTCAAAGATAATGAGGAATACCTCTCTCCGGGAGTGCAGCACAATCTGAGGTAGAATAATAGTTGATAAGTTCAATCCTCAGTCTAACAGTGGTAACCATGTTAAAGCAAAATAATTGGTAGAACAAGATATCTATAAATTTCAATCGTCCTTTAAGATTTGGTAACTTAGTACTGAACAAAAGTAAGTATAGCAAACTAGAAAAAAATCAATGTCTTTGATCTTTGTAATTGTTAAACTGTACTACTGAATTAAGATATATGAAAACTTGTATACAGACCACCCAATGCCCATACATGGTGCAGAATCGAGCAAAAGGGAGGAGAGGGGGGTGTTTTGAGTGATCGAGAATTGATTAAGAAATCACCGAATAGCATGGGGTCTAGAAGAATTGATTAAGAAATCACCGAATAGCATGAGGTCTAGAAGAATTGATTAAGAAATCACCGAATAGCATGGGGTCTAGAAGAATTGTTAGTTTTAGTCAGAATTTAGAAATATAATGCCTCTCGTCTAGTCAATTATTTTTTTACGAAAAAAGAGCTTGATACAAATTATGTAAAGTAGAGCGTCATTATGTGTGTGTGTAAGCGTGGTGTCTTCCAGATTACTGTAACACTACGAGAAATGTAAAAATTACCACCCCACACCCCGGGTAACATAAGAAAGAGCAGCTATAAAAGGATATCAGTATTAAAATAGGTTAAAAGGTAGCAAGATATATTAATAAGAAAGTCTTTAACTTAAAATTAAAAATGTTCATTGCTTAAATATACAATGAAAGGTAAATAAATAGACATATTGAAAGATAGATATACAGTGATAACCATAAAACTATGAAATATAGAAACGACTTAAGTGCATTTGATGTTGTTACAAAGGAAATAGTCACTTTTGTTTTCAGTAGAAGGAAATATTTCCATTTACTGTTAGCGCCGATTAAAGGATTCATATCTCTAATTGGACAATGAGATAGATAGAAAGATAGATGTTACCACCATACAAATACAATTTCTATTGGTTCAGAAAAGACAACAAACAAATGGCTGAACGCTGATTGGATCAGGCGCTAATGGACTCGGCATACAGAAGTGTAGTTTTGGTTAAAACTTATTAGATCACTCATTTAGTGAAATGGGTCTATTTACACTGCCCCATTGCTGTGGTTCGTGTTCATTTGATCTTTTAAAGTTATAACTTGATTCGTCTTTAATTCCAGAGTTTTCTTGTTACAAAGTTACAAATCAAGATTAAAAGATATATGTATGGTTGTATAGATGGATAGATATAAAGTGGTATGGACAATAGTAAAGATTAAAAGATATATGTATGGTTGTATAGAAGATAGATAGATGGATAGATATGTAGTGGTTTAGATACAAATATAGATTAAAATATAAATGCATGGTTGTAAAGATAGATAGATGGAGAATATATAGTGGTTTAGATACAAATATAGATTAAAATATAGATGCATGGTTGTAAAGATGGATAGATGGATAGATAGATTTACACCAGCTGGATCCGAGGCTATAATCGATATTTGCATATGACTGATAGATAGATAGAGTCAAGCGGAAGATAGATAAATACCCTTAGGCTGAAGATAGATAGATATTGGCCTCTAAAAGAAAGATTGATAGATAGATAGATAGATACAGAACCTCGAGTATTCTACCAGTCTAACCAGAACTCGGTCTTGTGATCTTAGGCCCTGTTTAAATCATAGAGAGACAAATATCTTTGTGACAAGGGAGTCAGGATGCTCAGCGATCATTTTATCGATCACTGATCGTATTCCTAAACTAAATCTGTAGTTTTTTCTTAAATTTTATTTCACTTGCTTCAGGAAAATCAATTTTTAACGCTTTGCACCCCAATATTATTCAAATTATTTCTTGTTTATACAGTGCACAAAAGAATTTTTACCTAATCAACCAAATATGGTGTTTTTAATCATTTATTGATCATTTTATATTAAGATATTTCATCATAAAACTACTTGTTCGTTTAATTTGTTACCGTTTTTGGGTCGTTTTTGCATATATCTTTGTCTGTCAAACAACATTTGGTTATAGTATAAGACAGAAATGTTTAGATAACAAATTTTAAAAACATTTACATTTCTTAAACTATGCTGAATTTTGCACAATCTGCATATTCTTCAAAATAATATATATATTTCTAGAATCAATATGTCTGCTAAAAGAATGAAAGTATCTAAATGTCCAAGTGATGTACTCACTATGACCAACAGAGCAATCGTCAGCCCAGCAGACTTTGATCCTAAGGTAATTTTAAAGGGACTGTGACTGTAAACTCAACAAGGTTCAAGTGTATAGAGTGCTAACGCTAATCAGACTGTAAACTCAACATGGTTCTAGGGTATAGAGTGCTAATGAACGTTAATCATACTGTGAACTCAACGGTTCTTGTGTACAGAGTGCTAATGAACGCTAATCCGTCTGTAAACTCAACAAGGTTCTAGTGTATAGAGTGCGAATGAACGCTAATCATACTGTAAACTCAACAAGGTTCTTGTGTACAGAGTGCTAATGAACGCTAATCCGTCTGTAAACTCAACAAGGTTCTAGTGTATGGAGCGATAATGAACGCTAATCATACTGTAAACTCAACAAGGTTCTAGTGTATAGAGTGCTAATGAAGGCTAATCATACTATAAACTCAACAAGGTTCCAGTGTATAGAGTGCTAATGAACGCTAATCATACTGTAAACTCAACAAGGTTCTAGTGTATAGAGTGCTAATGAAGGCTAATCATACTGTAAACTCAACAAGGTTCTAGTGTATAGAGTGCTAATGAAGACTAATCATACTGTAAACTCGACAAGGTTCTAGTGTATAGAGTGCGAATGAAGGCTAATCATACTGTAAACTCAACAAGGTTCTAGTGTATAGAGTGCTAACGCTAATCAGACTGTAAACCCAACAAGGTTCAAGTGTAAAGAGTGCTAACGCTAATCAGACTGTAAACCCAACAAAGTTCAAGTGTGTAGAGTGCTAACGCTAATCAGACTGTAAACTCAACAAGGTTCAAGTGTATAGAGTGATAATAAACCCTAATCAGACTTTAAACCCAACAAGGTTCAAGTGTATAGAGTGCTAATGAACGCTAATCAGACTGTAAACTCAACAAGGTTCAGGTGTATAGAGTGCTAATGAACGCTAATCATTGGCTATACTAAACTTGCATTATAACCTTGACTATACTATATGTTATGCAAAAATCTGCAAAAAACAGTTGTAAGTGTACAGTCCAGCTACATATAGGCCATGGTAGAAAACTATCACCCCACTGCGTTGGTAATACAGGATATAAATAGTGCACGACAAAATTCGAAGAGGCTGTTTGAGACTGTATTGCTACTTGGTAATTTAAAAATGAGTTTAAAGAGGCTGTTTACTACTATATATTGCTACTTCGTAATTAAAAAAAGAGTTTAAGTAGGCTTTACCACTTCATTGATAGATGGTTATTATAAAACATAGTTTAAAGAGGCTTGTTACCTCTTTATTGCTTTATTTCTTTATTACAATTGTAAAAGAGTTCAAAAAGGCTGCTTACTGCTTCATTGCTACATGGTAATTATAAAACACAGCTTAAATAGGCTGTTTTGTTTACCACTTCATTGCTACTATAGGGCTGGGCAAAGTTCCGTGAACAAAAAAGAAATTTTCGAAAATTAACGGTAGAATCCCTTAACGAGTGGCAAAAATCGTTATTTTTTAAATTGTTAACGAAACGGATTAGCCGTTTTTGAAAAAAAATAACAGTTGAAAACGAAAACGAAATGGATTTTTAAAAACAATGAATTTCGAATATTAACGGAAGAATCCATTAACGAACGGCAAAAACCGCTAATCTTTAAATTGTTAACGAAACGGATTAGCCGTTTTTGAATAAATAAACAAAATAACAGTTGAAAACGAAAACGAAACGGATTTTTAAAAACGGTGAATTTTGTTTTTTTTTCTGCTTAAAATTGCACCAAAGTCAAACTTTAAAAAAATTACGTTTATTGATGTTTTTAAATGTGGTTTTTCTGTGTTTGACAACATACATACTACAAAATACCGTTAACGGCTGCACCGTTACAATTTCATGAACCGTAAACGAAGTTGACAAACCGTTATTGCCCTTATTACTACAAAAGACCGCTAACGGCTGCATTTTTTTGCTGCTTTGCGCCGTTAATACCGAACTAAACAATTTCATAAACCGTAAATACTGTAATAAACCGCTAACGAGTTTATTTTTCCGTGCTTTGCGCCGTTAAAAATGTAATAGACTGGCTGAAGCAGTTAACAATTGTTGAAATTTTTCCGTTAACGTCGTTAATAAGATTGAGATTGCTAACTAACGGTAATTTAAAAAAAAAAAAAAACGGAAAATGCCCTTAAAGAACCAAACGTTCCATTCTTACCTTTAAAATTAACGGCTAACTGAAATATTTATTTTTCAATGGTTGGAACTAACCGTTAACAAACGGCTAGAAAAAGTTGGAACGTGCCCAGCCCTTCACGGTAATTTTACAGCAGAGTTTATATAGGTTGTTAATAATAAGATTAAAGCAAAGAAAGTATCTAGAATTCAATTATATTTTGTCTAAACTTTTACAATGTGCAATATAAACGAATGTGGCTTATCTGTTGGATGTTTGTCTGTTCCAATAAACCAGAAATGGGTGTATCGATCGAACAAACATTGTTTTTACTAGTCTAAGAAAAAAGCTATCGCAAATAAAGAATCAATAAAGAGCTAAATTTATCACTTTACGGGGGGTCGTATAAGCCAAGTAAATACAGACACATACAAAAAAGTAGGTTTCAAAAGTATATGAATACATAGATTTTCCAAGGCTCTTTTTTCAAGGCAATGAGGAGTCTTGAGGTCACTAAAAAAACAATTTCGAACAGAGAAACATGGAAAATGTTTAAATTATATTCTTCTCATCTTAAACAATGTTTGTCTAGCATTTTCATTTATTTATTTGTTTTCCTTGTTTATAACTATTTTATAAACATATAAAGATTCAAATACGAGAATTTTACATCAAAAATGATTAGATCATAATTAATCATGAAAAAGGTAGTAAGGACTCGGGAAGATTGTAAGACGACTCTTCGGAATAATTATTGTAATTTTTGTAGACGACCCCGCATATTGATGTGAGGACGGGACCAGGACAACATTTTATTTTCACGATACAGGTACAGTATCATTATCATCATTGTTATCATTAATTTGTGTCTTATATTATGGTTATGAAAATTTCTATTGTACCATTATTCATTATTATCATTATTTGTGTCGCCTTAATCATCATAATTATCATTATTGTTGTTTTTATCATCATCATAATTATCATTTTTATCAATGTTATCATTATCATAATTATCATTATTGTTGTCGTTATCATCATCAAAATTATCATTATTATCAATGTTATCATTATGCAGGCTGATAGCAAAGTTGACAAAGGAACTGTTGCATTCTCCCTTCCTCAGGTATATTTTAGATTTATTTAGTGCTCCTAATCAATAAAATATTCTTATTTTATTGTTGTATTTTTTATTGTTTTTAATTCCAGCTTTGAAAAATATAAGCCATACAACTGCCCTAAATGCGTGAATTCCACGCTAGTTAAAAGGGAGATGAAGAAGGAGGGGGAGGGGGGGGGGTGGAATGTACTATTGCAATATTCCCAAATGAACTGTAGCAGTTTAAAAATACTTTAATCTGCTAAAATGCTACATTCTCACCAGAATTTCCACGTAAATGATTAACTGAGATCTTGACCTGACTTGGATACATCTTGGTTATTTTCTTGCTTGTTTTTTCTGTGTAATCACTGTTAATGGCACTAATAGGTCCTGTAAAAACCGCATTATTGCAACATATTCCCCAGATAGGTTTGTTCTGTTGTCTCCATATAAATTAAGCCCAAGAGACATTTAAGTAGAGAAAATATATACTTTTTGTTAGAATATTGTGTTCCAAGAAGAAAATGTTTGTCTCTGTCGATCAAAGTTTGATATATTAAAAAAAAATTTATCATGACACATTGGACGTTTTCCATCAGCAGAACAAATATAAGAGTTCTTAGCAAAATCTAAATATTTGAAAAAATATTTGATATTTTTGAATTTCAGAGAAAGTGGGCAGTGCTCTCCTTGAACCAAGAGATAGATGTGTCACCGTTCCAGTTCAGTCCGGAGAAGCACTACCTTTCCAGGTACCTAGAGCAACCTTAAACCACAGAATAGGATCTTATCTAGACATATAGATATTAGTTGAGCAGTGACACCCCAACCTTTAGTAGTGATAAGGACATAATAGAATGTCGAAATATATTTACTGAGGCCGAATTGTATTTTTTTAACTGCTTCGCTGAACCGTAAAAACCCGATTCCAATAGAGCGCATGTCTGAGCTGCGTCTTAATTTTGAGAAGAGGCTCAAATCCTTTAATATCGGTCTCTGAAAAGTGGAATGAGCTCAATTGTACAGTAAGCAGGATATTGGCTTCTTTACCGGATAATCATTAATTATTGCAGGGGCTCTTCCCGTTAAATGGTTGGTCTTACTCTTTCTCAGCTCCCTATAAATTTTCATAAACCTCGAGGTTAACCTCCAAATCCCATGACATTGAGAAATTTCCTAAGAAGGGTTTGAAGGAGAAATGGAATAGGATCTAATAGAACCTGGATCACTGGAATAGGATCTTATCTAGAACCAGGGATACTGGAATAGAATCTAATCTAGAACTCGGGATAATGGAATAGGATCTAATCTAGAACCTGGGATACTGGAATAGGATCTAATCTAGAACCTGGGATACTGGAATAGGATCTAATCTAGAACCTGGGATACTTGAATAGGATCTAATCTAGAACTCGGGATACTGGAATATGATATAATCTAGAACTTGGGATAATGGAATAGGATCTAATAGAACCTGGGATACTGGAATAGGATCAAATTTAGAACCTGAGATACTGAAATAGGATCTAATCTAGAACCTGGGAAACTGGAATATGATATAATCTAGAACTTGGGATGCTGGAATAGGATCTAATAGAACCTGGGATCCTGGAATAGGATCTAATCTAGAACCTGGGATACTGGAATAGGATCTTATCTAGAACCTGGGATACTGGAATAGGATCTTATCTAGAACCCGGTATACTGGAATGGGATCTAATTTAGAACCTGGGATACTGGAATAGGATTTAATCTAGAACCTGGGATACTGGTATAGGATCTAATCTAGAACCTGGGATACTGGTATAGGATCTAATCTAGAACCTGGGATACTGGTATAGGATCTAATCTAGAACCTGGGATACTGGAATAGGATCTAATCAAGAATCTGGAATACTGGAATATGATCTAATCTAGAAAACACAAAAAAAATACAAGAAATGTATTTATAGATCTGGTCAGGCCATTTTCTAATTAAGTCTTTTCATTCATGTCTCTGACTGCAGGTTCAAGAATAGTAGCTTCACCTTCCCTAGAGTATGAAGAGCAACCAGTATTGTATTTGAATTCAGTCTTGATCAGTAACCATTAAAGTAACCATTATAACCGGGTAGGATTAAAGTAATCATTATAACCGGGTAGGATTAAAGTAATCATTATGACCGGGTAGGATTAAAGTAACCATTATAACCGGGTAGGATTAAAGTAAAACCGGGTAGGATTAAAGTAATCATTATAATCGGGTAGGATTAAAGTAACCATTATAACCGGGTAGGATTAAAGTAACCATTATAACCGGGTAGGATTAAAGTAATCATTATAATCGGGTAGGATTAAAGTAACCATTACAACCGGGTAGGATTAAAGTAATCATTATAACCGGGTAGGATTAAAGTTACCGTTATAACCGGGTAGGATAAAGAAACACAGATCAACGTTCTGGAATCGTTAACTTTGAAATAAAACTTAAACTTTTAAGTCTATTCATTTCCAAATATGCCAAAAATAACTCTTCTTTAGGTTAAAAGAACTAAAAAAAGTTTAAAATTTAAACTTTGAAATTATGAAAATTTATTGTGTAACTTCACATTTGCATTTACCTTGATTACACCGTGAATCCTAGGTTTTAAACTTTAACTTTTATCTATCAAAATTCAATTCTTTCCAAACTTCTAAACAAAACTAGAATCCCAAATATTCATTTGGCAAACCTTCAGAATTATGCTAAAAGTATTCCAAACCAACAATTAGCGCTCAGAGCTGGGAACTTTAGAATGGATAAACTTTAATCCTGACTTCTTGATCCGAATATCCACTGTGGAAACTTTTCATTTTAGTCCTAATCCACTATTTTTCTCTCTCCTTGGATATCCGTAAATTGTTTTCTCCAATGGGAATATTTCTGTTCTCTCATTGGTTGCCCGCTTTTCTCTGATTGGCTGCTACAGTTTCTCAGATGATTGAATATTAATTTGAATCTAAGATAATCTTGCAAGATTATGTTAATCTTGAGATTATCAAAAAGAGAGGATCAAGCATTAATCCCGATATCCACCATTCTAAAGTTTTCAGCTCTGGATGTTTTGTTAAACAGTACAAACAACATCTATATATAAATTTGGCTTGTCTGTTTGTTTGTTTGTCTGTTTGTTTGTTTGTATCCAATAAACGTCAAAACGGCTGAACCGATCGGGCCCAAATTTTTTGTGGGACATCTAGGGAGCCCAGGGAAGGTTTATGAATCATCAAAATTTCAAATATTTGTCTCTATCAAAATTCGATCGTCATTAAATTTTTTAAAATTTTGAAAATCCTCGAAATTTTTTGTAAAAATCCGCAAATTATTTTTGTTTAGTTTTACGATGTACACAAAGAGAACATGTTTACAATTAATTTAGAAGATGGGCGCGAAGCGCCCTCTAAGGCTAGAAAGAAGGGCGCGAAGCGCCTTGAATTTCTAGTTTTGGAAAAAAAGTATATTTTCACTATTAAAGAAGGAATTGATTACTTGAACCAAACTCTAATTTTCCAATTCAATCTAATCTAATCTTTGCAACCAGAAGTCTTACAATTTTGATATTTTAAACTATGAATTTTGCTTGATCAAATACTCACTTTGTCAAATGTTTCGTGTTTACGCGATTAGGTTACAAAGCTCCTGGGGAATAGTATATTTGAGTTTGAGGATAGAAATCAGTTCCTTTAGAAGATCTCAGTCAAGTTTTGTATTTAGTGTGAGGACCAAACACATCAAGGTTCTGTACTGAAAAATGGAGTCATTTATGTTAATGGTTTGATGGTTTGGTGTAATGGGATGTTTTTATTTCAGTGTTCAGCTGGATATTGATTTCTTCAACAAGAAGAACTCCAGGAATTTGAAGCATAACCAAATACCTTTACATTTTTGTACATTGATTTAATATTAATTTAATATTTGTTGCAAATGAATAATGAATAACATGAATAACTTTTTTAATGAATACTAAATGCTTTGCTTGAATGTAGTACTGAGCCCTTCAATACTGATGAGATGGCCAGGTAAACATTTTTTTATGAATTTGCATGCAAATATTTGCTGCAGAAACAATTATGAATTACTAGCAATTGAGAAAATTATTTTTAAAAACCATTTCATGGAAGTTGAAATACCATCATATATCGATGAAAAATACTGTCCGAACCCGAAAAATACTCACTCTTATACAAGAGTTGTTAACAAATATCGGAAACTTCAAACCTTCAATTAAAATAAATCCCAAAATTTCTAGAAAAAAATATTGGATACAGAAATCAAAGCAAAAAAGACTCTAATTTTCAAATTCTTACAGTTTTGCAACCTGATGTCGTAGACCTGTGATATTCAATCTTTACACCTTGCTATTAGACAGTTGTGGTTTAAAATATAAAAGGTTTACAAAAATTATTGTTTGAGTTGAGTGTTTAGTCCCTTTTCAATAAACCTATGAGAGTTTAATATTGTTTTGTTTTAAATTATATTTTTCGATTCATTTTTGTGATAAAGAAATTGAGTTTTTTCCACAAACTCTGATTTTCTAATTTCAATATCGTTGAAACCCAATGTTTCAGACCTTTAATATTTCAAACTATGAATTATATTAGATCAATTAATGTAAGTTTGAAATATCAAAGGTTTACATCATAAAGTTGCAAAGATATAGGTTTTACAAAAACTGAATTTGTGGCAAAGACTCAATTCCTTTTTTATTTCCAGAGAGTTCAGTATGCAGTTCCCAAAACAGGCATTTAGTGTTGGACAGCAAGCAGTCTTTAACTTTCAGGATAAAAAACTTCTAACCATCACAGTCAAGGTAAAAATTCACTAATTATCCAAATATAAACTACCAACCATCACAGTCAAGGTAAAAATTCACTAATTATCCAAATATAAACTACCAACGATCACAGTCAAGGTAAATATTTATTAACTATCAAGATAAAAAAACTGCTAACTATTACGGTAAAGGTGAATATTTATTAACTATCAAGAAAAATTTACTAGCTATTACAGTTAAGGAGAATATTTTCAACTGTAAGGATATAAACTATACTAACAATCACAGTCAAGGTAAATATGTATTAAACTATCAGGATATAAACTACCAACTATTACGGTCAAGGTGAATATTTTTAAACCCGTACTGAAAACGACCCCTTACTTTAATTTAATATCACGGTTAATGGTTAGTATCCGTCAGAACATAGAACCACTGCACTGTCTTTAAGATTAAAAGTGTAATTTAAGGTTTGTTGGTTTAATGAATGTTAAAGGGTTCGAAGGTTTTACAGGCTTTATTTTTTTGGTTTTAATGAATTAAAGGGGAAAAGGTTGTATAATGTATAGGTTTAAAAGTTTTAAAGTGTTCAAAGTTCTTTAAAGGGTTTTAAAGGGAGTGATCGGCTAGACATGGTAATTGAGCTGAGAGTGCAGAATTGTAGAGACATTTTTTAGGATTAATTTGAGACCTACAAGGCGTTTTTTACTATGTCTAATTCTCACGTATTGTCCATTTTGGACTTTGGAGGTTACTTTTAGAGAATTATTTAATAAAAACGACGAAAAATCACTGTAAAAGTTTCCTCGTAAGTTCAAAAAAGTCTAAGCATAATTGAAATTTTAGTTGAAATTAATGCATTTTAAAGTTTGTTATAAAGGTTAAATTGTTTAGGATTGTGAAGCTACTGACCTTCGTGCTCTTCAGGCGGGAGAGAAGGTTAAACCACACAAGGTACATTCAGGATCCATTTATTAAATAATGAATAAATGAATGAATAAATAAATAGATGAATAAATGAATAAATAAATAAATGAATAAATGAATAAATGAGTTAATGAATAAATGAATAAATGAATAAATGAATAAATGAATAAATGAATAAATGATTAAATGAATAAATGAATAAATGAATAAATGAATTAATGAATAAATGTATAAATGAATAAATGAATAAATGAATAAATGAATAAATGAATAAATGAATTAATGAATTAATGAATTAATGAATAAATGAATAAATGAATGAATGAATAAATGAATAAATAAATAAATAAATGAATGAATTAATGAATAAATGAATAAATAAATAAATGAATTAATGAATTAATGAATAAATGAATAAATGAATGAAATGAATGAATGAATAAATGAATAAATAAATAAATAAATGAATGAATTAATGAATAAATGAATAAATAAATAAATGAATAAATGAATAAATGAATAAATGAATTAATGAATGAATGAATAAATGAATAAATAAATAAACGAATAAATGAATAAATGAATAAATAAATAAATGAATAAATGAATAAATGAATAAATGAATAAATAAAGAAATGAATAAATGAATAATAAATAAATAAAAAATGAATAAATGAATAAGTGAATTAATAAATGAATAAATAAATGAATGAATGTATAAAGGTATCCTGTGGACTGTTCCTACCTAATACTGGAATTATATTTGAGAGAATGGAAGGAGCAACTATTAATCTCACCGGCAAATCCAAGGGAAAGGTATGAAATCAAACTTTATGACATAGTTTTTTTAAGAAAATCGTGAAAAAGAAATAGAATTGAAATCTTATAAAGTAAGAATATTATGTGAGCGTATATGTTAAAATAATAAACCTGGACTGGGATATGTTTAATTATCTAGGTTGAGAGAACTCAAATAATAAACCTGGACTGGTATATGTTTAAATATCAAGGTTTAGAGAACTCAAATAATAAACCTGGACTGGGATATGTTTAAATATCTAGGTTGAGAGAACTCAAATAATAAACCCGGACTGGGATTTCTCCAACATGGGAATCGGAGGGTTAGACGAAGAGTTTAATGCTATATTCCGGTAAAATTAATTTTATAAAAGTTTTATGAGTTTCATTTTAGTTTTTATGTTCTTTGCAAACATTGCATGCCCTATCAAGTGTATTGAACGCCGAAACAAATTACAAAACAAATAGTTAAAAAGCAATATTTAGTTTTTGAATATTTAATTGCAATAAGTTTTTAACACCTTATACAGACAAAAGAGATTTGCATTTTATAGTAAAATAAAAACATTTAAAAAATGAAAAAAACATTTAAAAAATAAAACAAATATTTTTAACTTTATCAATTTATTTATTTTTAATTTTTTTTATGAAACAAATTATTTGATACATGTATTTAATGCAGAATGCAGATAATCATTTTTCCAATCTTCTTGTTTCCTGGCTGTCCTTTTTTGCTCATTCAATTAGCTGCATAGCCCCCTCCCCCCCAGGATGGTTAATATGCAGTTTCGAGATGCTGATCAGGCAATTTGTAGTATTTCAATATCAGCTCTTGAGTTTCTGTATTTATTCCAGTTGTTTTTGATATCGGCCATCTATGCAGGTTTATTGCTGACATTGTTGTAATGAGAACTTCCCTTTGTCAGCTGCATTACATGTATCAGTGTCTTGCAGTAATTTAGAAAGAAATTAAAGACCATCTAGCATATTAACTGCATTCGGCTAAAACAAATCTAATTTAATCATTTATCACCTTAAATTTTTTAGACGAGCATTTGCGTCCCGCGTTTTCCCGCCAGAAATCATGGAACAGCTGGGTAAGATTTAAAGGGACAGTTCACAATACAATTCGAATTTATTTTTTACTTTCATTTCAGTAAAAGCTAAACCATCTTTGATGTATGGATATTAAAGGGAAGGCTTTTGTTGTTTGTGATTTTTAAAGGTAGTGTAAAAGTAATATCAAGTAACCATCCTTTGATTCACAACGGTATCCTTAAACTATTTGTCTGATGTTTATGTTTAGAAAAATTAATATTTTCACTCTTCTTTAATTTGCACTTCAAATTACGACGCCAGTTCCTTTAATGTTCACGAAATAATTCTATTTTGTAGGGTGCAAGCACGTGAAAGGTATCCTCCTGTTTGGACCACCTGGAACAGGAAAAACTCTGATGGCCCGGCAGATAGGTAATTTCAGGGAAATAAACTCAATTTTGGTGCAAACTAGGATCTTTAAATCCCTAGCATCTCTGCAACCCGATGTCAGAGACCTTTGATGTTTTAAATCATGAATTCTGCTAGATAAAGTTTTCTAATTTAGAAATATCAAAGGCCTAACTCATCAGGTTCCAAAGATAGAGGGATTGGAAATTTAGATTTGGTGTCAAAAAGTCAATTACTTTAAGGAAAAGCTACCTCTCGATTTTTTTTTCAAAATATTTAGCTGTTTTTTCTAATTGTTTGTTTCAAGATTTTTAGTAAAAATCGCGTTTTCGGAGGTACTCGGAGGACATTTTAATGATATTTTAGGGGCTATTTTAGGGTTTTTTTCAGGAGTAATTTCAGAGTTTTCATTTGTAACTTAAGAGTAAGTTGGAGGAGAAATAGCAATTCGCTGTCGCTACTTCAATTAATTTAAACTTAAGTTTAAATTAATTGGATAAATTAAGTGGAAGAAGAAATCCCTCCAACTTTAAGAGAAAGATAATGGTAATATTGTGTCACTTTAATAAATCAACAAACTGACAAAAACCTTGATGCGTCAAAACATTTTCATTTTAGATAGAACCAAGGAGAATAGAATACAAGGAGGGGGCTATAGGGTTTCCGTACACTTTGCTGTGACGTTTTTGGACTGCTGAAGAACTAGTTTTTGCGTAACAACACGAATAAAGATTGTAAACAATAACACCAATGATAAACAGACATCTAGCATCTCTGGCGCGTTAGATGAAGATTCGCCGTATACTAACTCATCTTTGTTTACATTAGATCGGCTGCCTTTATTATTGTTGTTACGCAAAAACTAGTTCTTCAGCAGTCCAAAAACGTCACAGCAAAGTGTACGGAAACCCTATCGCCCCCTCCTTGTATTCAAAATCTCCTTGGATAGAACTATATCAAGGGGCAGGGTGAAACGGGGGGAGGGTGATAATCGTAGGAGGAAAAGAGAGGGATTCAATAATGCACAGATATGGAAGGATGATTAAATAACGTTTGGTCGAGGGAAGACAGTGGAGTAACACTTAAAATATTGATGTGGGAAAATGTTTTTAAAAACCAATATTTGTGTACTTAGGTAAAATGTTGAATGCCCGTGAACCAAAGATTGTAAATGGTCCTCAGATCCTGGATAAATATGTCGGAGAAAGTGAAGCAAATATAAGGTACAGCACATTACAGTAAAGTACAGTACAGTGCAATACAGTGCATTACATTACAGTACAGAACATTACAGTACAGTATATTACAGTACAGTACAGCACATTACAGTACAGTACAGTACAGTACAGTACAGTACAGTACAGTACAGTACAGTACAGTACAGTACAGTACAGTACAGTACAGTAATCTCGTTTATTGCCTCCGCCATCTTAGTATTGCTTAACTATCTTGTTTATTGCCTCCAACAACTTGTATATTACCTCCACCTTCTTGTTTATTGCCTCCAACATCTTGCTTATTGCCTTCACTTTCATGTATATTGCCTCCACCATCAATTGTTTATTGTCTCCATTATCTTGTTTAATGAATCCATCACCTTGCTTATTGCCTCCACTATCTTGTTTAATGCCTCCACTATCTTGTTTATTGCCTCCACCATCTTGTGTATTGCCTCCATTTTGTTTTAACTCTTAAGATTGATTCAGGTGTAAACGACACTGTTGTGAATCAGCTGTTGTCTAAGATAGATGGAGTTGATCAACTCAATAATATTCTTGTTATTGGAATGACGAACAGGTATTCAATAATATTTAATTTAAAGAAATTGAGTTTTTGCCACAAACTCAAATAGTATCATCCCTAAATGTATGCAACCTGATGGTGTAAACAATTTTACACTTTTTGATCTTATAAATTTTATAGTTTTAATTTTTAAATATGAAAGATCTACAGAATTTGTTTGTAATTATATAGTGATTAGAAGATAAGAGTGTGTGCCCAAATTTAAGTACCTTAACGAATTTTTGTAAATTTCCTTTTTCCTAAGACGGGATATGATGGATGATGCTCTACTACGACCTGGTAGGCTCGAGGTTCAAATTGAAATTGGATTACCCAAGGTGAAAAATAGACTTGTTTACTTTGATCTTTTTTCAATAGATATTTTCAAAATTAATATGTATGAAAATTATAATAAAAGGGTTGAGATTTATTATTTGTATTCTATATTAATATGAACAATATTACAAAAGCACACGTGACAATTTCCCATAATGAAACTTATCCCACTAAACATGAAAGAATGATCTATTTTGAATATTAGTATTAATTCTTTTCTTACTTGTTGCTATGTAGGAGGGTGGAAGAACCCAGATTCTAGTAATCCACACTAAAAAGATGAAAGCTAATGGTAAGCTAAGCGAAGATGTAAACCTTGATGAGCTGGCAACCATCACTAAGAATTTCTCTGGTGCTGAGCTGGAGGGGCTGGTCAGAGCAGCGCAGTCATGCGCACTAAACAGGCTGGTCAAGGTTAGTTCCGCAGATGTACATTTTCTTTAAAACTTCCATGTCTTTCCTGTTCAATAAGCCCTTCATGTTTGCATTTAAAGGGCTTTAGAAGTGATTTACCCTAACTCCATTTATAAAATGCAGATTGACAAAACTATATAACATTAATCGGAGATGCCATTTTATAAATTAAGGTTCAATTGAAATTACATCTACAGTCTCAGAACTTTTGATCTTCTAATAAGTAATTTGATCAAAATTTGGAACTTTCAAGCTATGCCTTTTCTATAGTCCTTATAACGTTCGTTTAGCTTTACTTATAAACACCATTTACAAATAATTATAATTTCATGAATTTTCCATTTCACTGCTATAGGCGTCTTCTTAATATACATTATTAGGCGTTCTCTAAATATAAATTATTCGGCGTCCTCTAAATATATATTGTTAGGCGTCCTCTAAATATATATTATTAGTTGTCCTCTAAATATATATTGTTAGGCGTTCTCTAAATTTATATTATTAGTTGTCCTCTAAATATATATTGTTAGGCGTCCTCTAAATATATATTGTTAGGCGTCCTCTAAATATATATTGTTAGGCGTCCTCTAAACATATATTGTTAGGCGTCCTGTAAATATATATTATTAGGCGTCCTCTTAATATATATTATAAGGCGTCCTCTAAATATATAGTACCAGGCGTCCTCTAAATATATAGTACTAGGCGTGCTCTCAATATATATTATTAGGCGTCCTCTAAATGTATATTATTAGGCGTCCTCTAAATAAATATTGTTAGGCGTCCTCTAAATATATATTGTTAGGCGTCCTCTAAATATATATTATTAGGCGTCCTCTAAATATATAGTACTAGGCGTGCTCTAAATATATATTGTTAGGCGTCCTCTAAATATATATTGTTAGGCGTCCTCTAAATATATATTGTTAGGCGTCCTCTAAATATATATTGTTAGGCGTCCTCTAAATATATATTATTAGGCGTCCTCTAAATATATATTATCAGGCGTCCTCTAAAGTTGAGTTGGATCCTGAGGCTGCTGAGAAACTTCTAGTTTCAAGGTGCAGTACAATTTATTAAAGAGATAGTTTCCGAATTAGGAAAACCGTAAACATATTCTATCCACTAAACCCAATAAAGCAAATTTAGTATTTAGTTTACAGAACAGAGATTAATCTATTCTCTTTGGGTTCAAAACATATCTATTTGTTTAGAGCTGATTTTATGCACGCCATGGAGAACGATATAAAGCCTGCGTTTGGAGCTGCAGCTGAAGTTCTTGACGGATTCTTATCCAGGGGCATCATTAACTGGGGAGAACCTATTCAAAGTAAATATTAAAATTTTCACTTGCTGTCATTAACGCCTTGGTCTTCGATTAACCTGTCCAACTTACTGTTACTTTTTTTTGCCCTAGACATATACATTTTAAAACCAAAAGCACTTGTTTTTAAGCTTTAGATTTTAAAAATAATTTGACAAAATTTTCGTAGATTTTTGCGTAAGATCCTGCAACCTTAAAATCACTGCAGTCTGCAAGCATTTCATATTTATCATTACTGTTAATACGCCTTGTTTCTAAGAAAAATAAGTTAATACTGCAAAGTTTGGTGAAGCCCTATAGAATACAAAATGAAGTTTGTATTTGTAATTTCAACAAAACAGAAGATAAGAGTTTCAATTTGTGAAAAGCACAGAAATAAAATTAATTCAAAGTTTGTTTCAAATCAATAAAATTAAAGGAAAAGAAATTTAAATAAAAAAGTATGAACCTTTCAACAAAATAACATTTTATGAAATATTTTAGAATAATTTGATTTAGGTGTTCTTGATGATGGTAAACTACTAATCCAACAGGCTGCTAGTACAGATGGACCCGGACTAGTCAGGTGGGGACAAAAAATGCGGGAAAAGAAATTAGCGCCATTTTGTTTGACAATATGAGCGCCATTATTGTTAAGAGAAACAGTGAAATTTTTGAACTGGAAATTATCGTAATAGAAATTAACGCTATTTTTTACTTCAGTTTTTCTTTTCATACAAATGATATTGTAGACTATTTCCAAAAAATAGGTTTTTTAAAAACATTCTTAAATTTTCTTTGCTAAGGTATTTCTTGCAGGTATAAATTGCGTTTAACTTTAAAAGATCGCAAAATATTTGACATTGTCCCCCTTAACAACTTCTTATCAAATTGACAAATTTTCGCTTCAAGACTTAATTATTTCATACTCTTCATATTTCATAAAATGTGTCAAGAAAAGTAATATTTCATTAGTTTTCTTTATATATGTAAGATATTAGATTTACGAATGTATAATATTATATTTCTAAAATTAACGTATGTTTATTGCATTTTGCAAAATGCAATTTATTCCCACTGCTTAAAAAAAAGGTTTTACAATTATTTAAATTTTAAAAGTTAATTGTTTTAATTTTCATTGTATAATTAACTGGTGTATAACAATACTCCGGGGACAACTTTGCAAAAACATTTTCTACAATAAAATATAATTAGTCGAAATTCTAACACATTCTCAAAGAGGGCAAAAAAAAGATCTTAACGGTGGAGAAATGTATGCAGTCATGTAATGAAAGTGCCGTCAATAATTCCTTTTAATCTTTAAATGATTAAGGAATAAGGATCTGATTACGATGTTTCTCTGAAAAATAATGTTTGGCGGCTTAGCTTTCTGGAAATCGACACATGAAATCTTTAGCACAGACATGCATGAAAAGAGTCTAAATATGTCACATCACATGTGACATATTTTAATTTTCAAAATTGTTGAGCTCTTAAATTTTTTTTACATTTATTTGTTTTAATCAATTAAATTATCTAAATTTTTCTTTTCAGTATTCTGATCGAAGGAGCTCCGAATGCTGGAAAATCAGCTCTAGCTGCTCAGCTTGCGAAGTCCTCCGACTTCCCGTTCGTGAAGATCTGCTCACCAGAGGACATGGTCGGGTTCACAGAGTCAGCAAAGTGTCTCATGATTAGGAAGATATTTGACGATGCGTACAGGTAATTAAAATATATTTGACGATGCGTACAGGTAATTAAAATATATTCTACGATGCGTACAGGTAATTAAAATATATTCTACGATGCTTAACAGGTAATTAAAATATATACAATGATGCGTACAGGTAATTAAAATATATTCAATGATGCGTACAGGTAATTAAAATATATTCAATGATGCGCACAGGTAATTAAAATATATTCAATGATGCGCACAGGTAATTAAAATATATTCTACGATGCGTACAGGTAATTAAAATATATTCAACGATGCGTACAGGTTATTAAAATCTGTTCGACAATGCGTACAGCTAATTAAGACACATTCTACGATGTGTTGCAGGTAATTTAAATATATTCGACGATACGTAATTAAAACCTTTATTTAACCCAAAATGAAAGAAAAATCAGTTCATGTACAGTGTACAGTGTGCGGATAATTACAATATTCCTTAATGGACACTGTTATTTAAATCTTCATTTACGTACACTGGGGTGAATACAGTTCTCATTTTATTCAACTGTACTTTTGTATTCTTTATTTAATCAGCCTAACATTTTTTAACCAATGCGACTTATAAAGTAGAATGATTACGTAACCGAATATATAATGTACTATGTATGTAATACCCACAATCCACATCCAATGTATTGATTTTCAACTTACAATTTACACAAAATGCTTATTCAACATTCTTAATGATTACCATGGCTTGCTCAATCGACAGAATAACTGTATATAGTTTAATAGGATTAAAAAGCAAGAAAAAATTACATAATAGCACGGTTCAGCCCGTACATTGAAGAAGTTAAATTCGGTACGGTACAATTTCATCTATCACTGTAAATAAGACGGACTGGTACAAGAAGCAAAAACGCTACAAGGTTGTAATTTCAAGCAACCCATTCAAAGATTGGTATACACTATACAGTCTGATTGACAACGGTTCCCTTTAAACTGTTGTGTAATCCATATTGTGAAATTTGTCCAGCTTGGAAAGTGGTTAATTCAAAAAATGTTCGCCGTCGTTTCTGATGTAGACCTAGATTGAAAAATGTTGGAAAATGATGGTTATTCGACCGTTGTCAATCGTTTGTATCCAATAAACGTCAAAAAGGTTGAACTGATCGGGCCCAAATTTGTTGTGAGACCTCACGTGATAATCGAATTTTTAAAAATTTGCCACTAAATAATTTTGATTTTTAAGAGCCTGAAAATCCACGAATTTTTTTTTATAAAATCCGCGAAATTTTGGTTTGTTTTTGTTTTACAATGTATACAACGAGAAAATGTTCACAATTGAAATTGAAAAGTAAGACTATTACCAATCAACAGCGAATAGGCTGTTTAGTTTACCCTGAAATTACCCAAATAAGTTAACGGTCCCTAATGAAATCCACTTTCAATTTCTCTAAAGAAAACATGTTAAACCCCTAAAAGCTATGTTTTCATATTTAAAATTCAAAAATATAGAAAAAATTCCATTCACAATAATATACCATTAATGTCTAGTTACCAGCGTCCAATTTTAGAAATTGAACATTTTTGGGCAAAATACCAACTTTGCAAAATATGAGTATAAATAATAACATAACAGGATAAGTTTACAGAAAAATAACCAAGCTTAAAGTATAAAGTTTTTCTTTTTATTTCTATTTAAGAATTCCGAGAGAGTGTAGAAAGCTGTAAGTATGTGCAGACATGAATAGAATTCTTTTAGAAAATGACCCCCCCCCCCTCTCAGACAGAATCAGATACAAAATACAAAATATTGTAAAAATCCTAGCTTTTTGTTGCCGATTAATCTGGGCGCGTGTTGAATGTATCTTTAAAAATCGGCATTATTGCAATTTTTTTATTTAATTTTAAGAACTTTTCCTTGGGTAATGGGCCTGATTGGTTTAGTTATTTTGACGGTTGTTGAATACAAAACTGCAGATAAACTATTTCATAAATGCATACACCAAATATTCAACTATTTATAGATTTTTCAAGAATTGTGAAGCTCTTAAGGAAAAAGGCATAAACAGCTTTTCTGACAGTTAAAAAGAATTTATTTCTGTATCGTTATTTTTCTTTCACTTTATAAAACATTAAACAATTTACTCTGAATTACTTTGGAGAGTGAGTCTGCATTTTCCTTAAAGAAAACTAAAGAAAAATTTACAAAAAGGAATTTCTAAAGAAAATGTCTAGAAAATGCAAAAAAATAGAATAATGTTTTAGTTTTTTTAATTTTTTTAATTTAGTTAGCTGACAGATTTTATGGATATTAATTTATTATATTGAAATAAAAACTTAACACCTACTCCCTCCCTTCCATCAAATTAAATTCAGAACTAGAGATAAGAAAATTGTTAAATCTAAGTTTTTTCTTTTCTTTATCACATTTTCGGTACAATTTAAAAAGTTCCAATGCGAGTTTTCTATAACACATTATATTTTGTTCTAAAAAAAGACACCCCCGAAAGGGTTTTCACTTTTTAAGTAAAATAAGTACAATTCCAGTTTAAAATTTCATGAATTTTTTCAACTGTGTGTTCAAATAATGGAAAAAATAAAGTTTCAATTTTCTAAAAGATTTATGGAACAAAAATCGGGAGAGTCCCTAAACCATAGAGAAAGGAAACGAAGAGGTAAAGCTTACCTCAGATGTACACTACCGACCTCCCTATTTATTAATTAATAGAGTGGTCGGTTGTGTACATCACGATATGTTTACGCATCTAACACTGTACACTTGTATATATAGTGATCATATTTCTAGGAGGGATTTTATGGATTTGATAAATTTTGATTCTTCTTTATCAATTATTTAGTTTACAGGCCATGTACTTCACTTCCAAAGGCCAATCTGAATACTACAGTACTCGGGGGTGATTTCTGAAAATATTTACATGAATAATATGTTTTCATTTAACTATTAAAATCCACTACTCCTTTATCGTGTGCAGGATTCCATTTTCACAGGAAGGCGTACATTTACAGTCTTTTACAGAGCAATATTTCATCGTTAATAAACTGACCTAAGAAAACTGCGTAAAATTCAAGATACAAAACCTCCCCGTACACTTGTACTCCGAAAGCATACTCGATACTAGATGTTTGTACTGTATGAATATGCCATAATCTCTTAATATCCTTTATCAGTAAACTACACTCAGGCTAAGATCCAGCCCCCCTGGTCTAAACATGTCGCATAAGAGTTGAGGGAAGAGTTTAAAATATCTTTGCGGCTTTCATTCGTCCACAAATAGGATTTTAAAAATATCATCATAAAACACCCCTAGTTCCGAGTCTGACTGTGACTCCGTTCAGATTTCAATCTTTTATTTTGTAAGGCCTTTATCATTGGATCTGCTTAGCCTGATTTATTGAATTTGCAGAAATGCTTATTGCAAATATATCAAAGTTTAGGTTTGCAAATTTATTCTGCTAGCACAAGCGAGCTTGTTGCACACACACAAATGCAAGAGAAATATTTACAGAATATCTAAGCGAAACTTACATTTATATTTCAGTGTTCAATGCAAAAAAATGTAACATACAAATATTTTCAGAGGTTCCCATACATAGAAAAAAAAACATCTTGACTATAGTACTTTAATTCCTTCCCAGATAAATATAGCCAACACACGCAAATCTGTCCTTTTAGTAAAAGTAAATTCAGCCTATATGAAGCATAAAGTCTGACCGCGTCAACCTTGTTGCACCGGCTAGTCCTGTCTATAGAGCTAGGTACAGTACAAACTGAGACCGGAAAAGTTGACCCGACTCGGAAATTCAAATGTACTACGGCTGCCCGTGAACAAGTTTTTAAATTTAGGAATGACATTTTTTTCATTCTTTAATTTTTGTATTATAACAATACCCTGTAAACTAGAAAATTCGTTGAGAAATAAATTACAATGTGTGCCAAAAATAAAATGTAAAATATTCTTCGAAATTTTAATTTTAAAACATATGTAAAATATATACATATTGTACTCATGTCTATGCTATCCTGGTGTAGTGGGTGGATAATATTGAACGTCTGCTAGTATGTATATATATGAATTTATTCCAACTGATGATTGGGTTAGACCCATGAAACATTTTGTCTTGGAAAAAATATATATTTAAACATCTAAAATGTATATTTAAATGAACAAAAATGAAAATACTTTATATATACATTATACGTATATAAATTGTATTCAGGTCTATGCTGTCCTGTGTAGTAGTGGATAATATTGAACGTCTACTGGACTACGGACCTATTGGACCAAGATACTCTAATCTTACTTTACAGGTATAAATAGAAGATAATTAGAAACATAAACATCTAAACGCAGTATTTACGTTCTTGATTTTTGTGTTTATGTAAGTTCTTAAACTGTATGTTTATGTTATTGAACTGTATGTTTATGTTCTTTAGTTGTTTGTTTATGTTCTTAAGCTGTATGTTTATGTTCTTGAACTGAATGTTTATATTCTTGAACTGTATGTTTATGTTCTTGAGCTGTATGTTTATACTCTTAAACTGCATGAGTATGCTTATGTCCTTGAACTGTATGTTTATATTCTTCAACTGTATGTTTATGTACTTGAACTGTATTTTTATGTTCTTAAACTATATGTTTAAGTTCTTGAACCGTATTTTTTTGTTCTTGAACTCCATGTTTATATTCTTAAACTGTATGTTTATGTTCTTGAGCTTTATGTATTTGTTCTTAAACTGTATTTTTATGATTCAAATGATATGTTTATGATCTTGAACTGTTAATGTTCTTGAACTATATATTTATGTTATTAAGCTCTATGTTAATGTGCTTAAACTATATATTTATGTTTTTAAACTGTATGTTTATGTTCTTGAACTGTATGTTTATGCTCTTGAATTGTATGTTTATGTTTTTGAACTGTATGTTTATGTTCTTGAATTGTATGTTTCTGTTCTTGAACTGTATGTTTATGTTCTTAAACTGTATGTTTATGTTATTGAACTGTATGTTTATGTTCTTGAACTGTATGTTTATGTTCTTAAACTGTATGTTTATTGTTTATGTTCTTGAACTGTATGTTTATGTTCTTGAACTGTATGTTTATGTTCTTAAACTGTATGTTTATGTTCTAGGCTCTACTTGTATTGTTAAAGAAGACTCCTCCCAAGGGTAAAAGACTTCTTGTTATCTGCACTACAAGCCGGAGAGAGGTAAAGAACAGTTAGTTCAAGGTTTATAAACACAAAGTACGAAAAAAACAAAATGTTATCCGTCCTTAAATAATAACAGATCTTCCAACCTTTGAAAAATATTGAGAACCATTTTTTTTCGTTTATTAAAAGTACATCATGCGGCCGTTAGAATCAGAACTGCAATTTTGCAACAGGAAATGTGAACAATTATGGAAATTTGTATTTTTGCAATTAGGTCCAGGTACTAGTAAAGCTCTACATATATTTCCTAGGCACTAGATAAGGTCCAAAGATTAAAAAGACTACATATCTAGGTACTGGATCAGATGGAAATGATTCCAGCATTTACAGATGTTCTTCATGTTGCAAATATCACTCAAGATGCACAGGTACCAAACTTCTCTTGAAAATTTAATTTCTCGAATCAGAATTCAGAATAAGATATTGTATGCTACGAATTTGTAGCTATATTTTCCCTAGATAAAGTAATTTCGAATGTTTTTTTTAGTTGATGAGAGTTATCCAGCAGACAAATGCATTTACTGGTCAAGATCTAGCGAAGCTCGCTGAAAAACTTAGAGGAAGAAAAGCTTCGATTGGTAAGTGCAAGTGTTGAAGAAACCTACAATCTACACATTTTAAAGATGCACAAAATTATTTTTTTCTTCATGCTGTAAAGAAGCTAAAACTTCAGAATTTGATCAAATACCGTGATTATGTTTTCTTAAAACTGATAAATCTTTAAAAAAAAATTTAAAGAATTCTCAACATAATTTGAATTACACCTATACAATCTAAATGTTTTAAAGATACACAACATTCTTTGTTTTACATGCTGTAAAGACGCTAGAAACTTAAGAATTTGAAAGTATGATAATTCTTTAAAAATTAAAAAATCGCAGGATCGAGTTGTAAAGTTAGAAAGAGGGAGGAGTTATCTTAATTTTCAAATGTTTAGGAGTGAAGAAGCTTCTGGGTCTACTGGACATGGTTAAACAAACAGAACCTGCCGCAAGGTAATTATTTTATATTTTAAAGTTTTAAAATTATAAAAACTGCAGTGACATTTAAAATAAAGGGTTTTTATTGCTTATAAAAATGTTATGATAATTGAAATAATTTTTATGTATTTTAGGGTGAATAAGCTGCTATCAAAGCTGGAGGAAGAAAACTACATTGAACTAGCACCTTAATAAGGATAATAGAAGCTAGCAGGAGCAGCTTTATTAGACTAAAAGAAGCTAACAGGAGCAGCTTTATTAGACTAAAAGGAGCTAACATTAGCTACTAAATCAGTCTATTACCAGTTTCCACAATAAAAACTTCTGATTAGGTTTTCCACGGTTTTAAACAGCTGAAGCTTTAAAAAACAGTCTTAAACTGCTGAAATATGCCACCAAAGCTCACTATCTTGACGCTATATAGCCTTTAGGTATTTGTTTTAAATCAATATGAAATGAAATTCTAATTTTAACATTGTGACATAAAAACATTTTTCAAATAATCGAATAAAAACATGGCACTTGATAGGCTACAAAATGCTTGTACATTGTACTGTACTGAGGATACAGTACTATTTATGTACTTCTGATGCTTTCTCCGAAATTGTTAACGGACCAATTAGAGGTACTACTGTACAAAATCTTATTTCTAAAAATACAAATTCATTTTTAAGTTAGCAACGTCTTCCGTTTTCACATTTTAATATCTATTCACTGTTATAAACTTACCAAATTCAAAGTTGTAATCAATCAATTTTAATTTTAAAATGACCTATTTTTTTCATAATTATGATAAATAAAAACATAAAATTTTAAATAAGTCACATTTAGTTTAGACGTGAAACTTTGTATTTGAGTTTTGTGTGAATAAAACCTTATTTCACCAATAAGTTAAAAATGAGATAAATCATTTTTTTAGACATACTCATAACATATGTATATTGAATTCGTCATAGTTATAGATATAGGAAGCTCTTCATTCGAGTAATAATCTCAAGTATTTGTAGATAAACATCGTTGTTGTTAATTGTTTTTTTTTACAGATTAAACAAACCAAATCGTTAAGAACAATATTAAAATGTAAACGACTAGTAAGAGTCAGTATCATCAATATCAAAACCGTTAGAAACATGGGAAAATGGTAAGAAAATCATAATCAAAATAAATACATTGATCATCTAAAACTAAATTTTCCGCCAAAAAATAATATTTTGCATTTTATGTGGGCGAGGTTTCCAAAAAAAGTATCTTAAGAAACATTACTAAGATCTGTTACATTTTATAATTTAAAAAATATAAAACGTTATACCAGGTTGCAAATATATTTGAATTAGACAATCATAGTTTGAGACATTTAAATGTTCATATCCTTTAAAATGCTACAAGAATTACCTTAAACCTCTGATCATAGGCTGACTTTTATTTTTAAACTATTTTTGTTGAAACCAACAAAAAAACATTTTCGATAATTCTAGAGTTCCGCACTTCAAGATGTGTGTCATACTTCGTATTAAAATTGTTTCTATCTCTTTCAAACTTTTATTGAACAAAAAAAGTTACAAATCTACGTTTGAATCTATGCTTGTTGAAACTGTATTGTAATTAAATCCAATTACCACATTGGAGAAGCTCATTAGTTTACTGCACAAAATTAAGTTGTTTGCAAGTCTTCTTTTTTCTTAGACCATACTGTAATAGTATTTTTAAAAATGATAGTTAATTTTTTATTAGTATATGTTAGAATTATTTATCATATTGTTGTACTAACTCTACTAGGTCAAGTTTAAAGAAGAAGAATTAATCTATTTTAGATACGGAGAAAGGAATTAAAACAGGAGAATGATGGTTCAACATTAATGCTGAGTTTATCTTAAGTCCGGTCGGAGCAGACCATATAAACATGAGGTAATCAATTCTTTTATTTAAAGATCTCTAATATCTTGGGGGTAACAACAGGCTTTAAGAAATGTCAAATTACCATGAGAGGTGCTGAGTATGAGTTAGAACAGATTGTTAGTTAAATTACTATTCAAATTATCATGTGTAACTGGTCCCTTCACTTATATTCCATGTGATATAAAAAATTAGATCAATTTCTAAGACTGGGTTGAATTCAAACTGCCTTGATTTTTTAATTAACCTCACACTGCTAACTAAGATGTGCTGCACGCTCTCACACACACAAACTAGAGACACGCGCCTTGCATTTAAAAAATCTATATCTCTAAAGATACAAAGAAGTTTAAGTGAGTTAAGACCAAAGGTCAAGGCGTTGTTGAGGCTGTCTTGAATTTTGACGACTAGGTTTCATTGTTGCCTAGATATCGGTGATCATATTCATAAATATTTTTTGGGAGAACTATAAATTAATTAAAGTTTTAAGCATTAATTTTTAAAAAGTAATTAGCAAATTCTCATCGTTTGTTGTTATTGGTGTATGTAACCACACCTAGTACCGTACTGTTTAGGTGTATGTTGTTGTTATTGGTGTATGTAACCACACCTAGTACTGTACTGTTTAGGTGTATGTTGTTGTTATTGGTGTATGTAACCACCAGGCGCGCAACTAGACATTTGGTTAGAGGGTGGCTAGGGGGAAATATTTTGCGCGAAGCGCGAAATTTTTTTTGGCCCCCCCTAAACATTTTTAGGGGGGGCAAGAAAAATGTGTGTTATATTTCTTAAGGGATGGGCATGCCCCCCCTTAATCAGGCTAGGGGGGGCCTGGCCCTCCCCTAGTTGCGCGCCTGGTAACCACACCTAGTACCGTACTGTTTAGGTGTATGTTGTTGTTATTGGTGTATGTAACCACACCTAGTACCGTACTGTTTAGGTGTATGTTGTTGTTATTGGTGTATGTCTGTCACCATGTTATATTTGAAAGGATACCCACAAAGGCGGGTAACAATACTCTAGTAGGCTTCAAGTCACACACCAATAATAAAACAAAGTAGTTGAACATTTATATTAAAGAGAAACAAAATGAAGGAATAAATAACCAAAGTCAAAAGACACAGATTTGGCACTCAGTGATGGGTTACTCCTTTGGCCTGATACTCCTTTGCTGGATACTCCTTTGGCTAGATACCTCCTTTGGCTAGATACTCCCTGGCTAGATACCTTCAACATGGTTTCTCCTCAGGGCTGCCTATCTCCTCAGGTCAATTATCCCCTCATGCAACACATCTCTTCTGGCACCATCTTTGTTCGGGTAACAAATCTCTTCAGCATGTTGTTTTCCCACAGCTCCAATCTGTCCAAGCAGTTTCTGTTTCATTGGACTGACTGCTTCTGACCACTGTGGGGAGTTGGCGAATGTCTTCATCCTCTCCTTGTGAGAGCTGGCGCACAACTGGCTTCTTTCTCTTTCCCTCTCTGTGTTCTGAACCCAGAACCCGCCAATTCTTAATCCTGGCTGGTCAACCCCTGTAGGGGGCAATACTAGATAAGGCGGCTGGAGCAGGAAGAGGGGGGGCCAGGTTTGGGTTGATTTTTCCTGAAGAATTTTCCATGCTCTATACCTATCCTCAGCAGGGAGGGGGGGGGGATGGTTACACTAGTACCGTACTGTTTAGGTGTATGTTGTTGTTATTGGTGTATGTAACCACACCTAGTACCATACTGTTTAGGTTTATGTTGTTGTTATTGGTGTATGTAACCACACCTAGTACTGTACTTTTTAGGTGTATGTTGTTGTTATTGGTGTATGTAACCACACCTAGTACTGTACTGTTTAGGTGTATGTTGTTGTTATTGGTGTATGTAACCACACCTAGTACTGTACTGTTTAGGTGTATGTTGTTGTTATTGGTGAATGTAACCACACCAAGTTCCGTACTGTTTAGGTTCATGTTGTTGTTATTGGTGTATGTAACCACACCTAGTACCGTACTGCCTCGGGTTATCCGTGTTGGAGCTATATTCACAGAGGATTTAAAGGTAAAAACAGTTTTAAAAAAAAGGGAAATGATTACTCGCCTCAAACTCTAATTTTCTAATCACTTTATATTTGCAACCTGATCATATATATAATAATTTCAGATCTGTAAGAATTCATGTTGTTAAACAGCAAAGGTTTACAGAATTAGGTTGCAAAATGTAAGGATCGGGAAATTAGAGTTAGCTAGGTGTAATAAGCTCTTTTATTTATATAAAAGAAATATTTCTTATTAATTATTAAGAATTAAATTACTTTTCAGGATTCCCCTACCGAGCTGGCCTTCAAGTATGCAGTTTACAAGATAAATCAGGATCCATATATTCTAACAAATAGGAAAATAACATTATCCTTGTATATGTAAACTAATCTTTGTTTGTTCCGATCATAACTCAGGAATTGTCTCAAATTTTGATAAAGATATTCGGTAAAACCATGAGAATGTTCTTAGCTTGGTTTGAAAACTCTATATATGAGTAGGTTGGCTTTCACAGAGAAATCTTAGTTTCCATTCAAAGCTCGATTTCCAATCTAAGATTACATTTAAACTTCTACTTTTACCAATTTCTGTACCACAATCTTCCTAATTTGGATTAGGTAGGTCAAACCAAGAGAAAACGCCTGGCGACACTTCAAAATTTGCCCATTCACCTTAGTTGGTCCATTATTTTATAAATGAACTAACATAGCTCTGTTAACTATAACGATATAGCTAAAACTATCTCGCTTCTCTGTAGCTGCAATATCTATATATAAATTTGGCTTGTTTGTCTGTCTGTTTGTTTGTCTGTTTGTTTGTTTGTATCCAATAAACGTCAAAACGGCTGAACCGATCGGGCCCAAATTTTTTGTGGGACATCTAGGGAGCCCAGGGAAGGTTTATGAATCATCAAAATTTCAAATATTTGTCTCTATCAAAATTCGATCGTCATTAAATTTTTTAAAATTTTGAAAATCCGCGAAATTTTTTGTAAAAATCCGCGAATTATTTTTGTTTAGTTTTACGATGTACACAAAGAGAACATGTTTACAATTAATTTAGAAGATGGGCGCGAAGCGCCCTCTAAGGCTAGAAAGAAGGGCGCGAAGCGCCTTGAATTTCTAGT